CGGCAGATTGTACAGAAGACCGAAGAGTACAATCTGCCACTTTGCCTGGCGTATGTGGACTATGAGAAAGCCTTTGATTCCGTCGAAATTTGGGTGGTTCTACAGTCCCTTCAGCGGTGCCAAGTTGACTGTCAGTATATCGAAGTGCTGAAGTGTTTGTACAGTAGGGCTAGGATGGCTATCCGAGTACAGAATCAAAGTTCGAAACCTATCCAACTGCAGAAAGGTGTAAGACAGGATGACGTTATATCCCCGAAACTCTTCACCGCTGCGTTGGAAGACATTTTCGAGCTACTGGACTGGAAAGGATACGGCATTAACATTAATGGCGAGTACATCACTCACCTTCGATTTGCCGACGATATAGTCCTTATGGCAGAATCGCTGGAGGACCTTAGCACTATGCTCAAGGATCTCAATAGTGTCTCCCAACGGATAGGTCCTAAGATGAACGTGGACAAAACAAAGATCATGTTTAATGTCCATGTCACACCTATGCCGGTAGTTGTTGGGATCACTATGCTCTAAGTTGTTGACGAGTACGTTTACCTGGGACAAATAGTCCGACTAGGTAAGTCCAACTTCGACCGAGAGGTCAATCGACGGATTCAACTCGGCTGGGCAGCGTTCGGGAAATTACGACACATCTTCTCGTCAGGTACACCTCAATCTCTGAAAACTAAAGTGTACAACCAGTGCGTGTTGCCAGTGATGACTTAATGTGTTAAATGCACTAAAAATAACAGTATAAAATACAAAAAAAAAAACACATTTCATACTGTCCATAACTATGTAGGTCTATTTTACTCCGTCGCCTGTCACGACATCCACGGGTGGATATGGGGTAATGGACATTACTTACATCCACTCCTACAACAGTCTGATAATAGAAAATAGCGTTACCAGTGCTTTTGAAATGTTAAAAAATTATAATTTACTTAATATTATGTAAAATAATATTTTTTATGGTACCTGCTGTAACGATCTCCCCCCCCTCTATATGAAAATAAAAATATGTATGATATTGAATATAATTAGTTCCCCTTTATAATAAAACTTATATATATGTGACCAGGATAAATAAAATATGTTTTTATCTTTCTAAATGATCTTTCAAAAGGTTTATTAATAGGCCGGTTTTAATATTTTGGCGTGATCGTCTTAGTTATGACCCTTATTTACGTTGTGTTTGTTTAGTAACTTAGTTCTTTTAGGTGTCTTTTGGAAGAATGAATATTCACTAGAGCAATTGAAAGCTGTTGGTAGTGCCTTATAAGCTAAGTGAACCCCGTTCACGAAGACAGGGCTCGAAAAAAGGTTAAGAACATAAAACGTCCCTATTTCACTTGCATCGGGTTTACATTATTAATTATCCCTTCCCGCTTGGAAAAGGCTCAAAATATATTTATACAAAATACCCGATACAAGGGCTTCGCTCTCCTACATTTATTTAAAAAAAATGTAGGGGAGGTACACGGCCCCACACATGCCGTGCACGGTGAGTGCCAACCATTTTGATGCACTCCCCCCGAAGGGAACGCTAATTCGGGAACTGGACCGTAGTCCACAGCAAAATAACTGGCGAACCAGTAAAAGAGGCTTGGCCCCTTGTTAGTGCGTAAGCACAAACATCGACCGAAGTCGCGCATGTCAATGCGTGTAAACGCCATACAGAATACGAACGAATCCAGCCACAGTGAATGTATGTCACACGGTTTAGGCAAATAGGCACACTGGCCGTAAACCCTCCGTGAGCGCCACCACCTGCCAGACCGCCGCTCCTGCAGACGTGATGTAAGTGTATGGCATCACCACCAATTGCATGATCAGCACGGCTACTAGCCGCAGAGCGTGTCATGAGTCTACCGCTCACCTCAAGGGAATTGGGTCCCACGTTGTGCGGCTTTCGGCCGCAGCCTTGAGAGTCTCCTCAGATCCTCCCGCCAGCTACCACCCGCATGAGGTCGACACATATGCTCCACCAACCAATACAATGGCAGATATAGCCAAAAGGCAGTTATAAGATAAGAGTAATAATTCGCCATCAGAAAGGGTTTGTGTCACTGACGTTGAGTAAATGCATTTTCGATCATGTTTGTCTCACCCACCGACAAGTTGCCTTCAATCATTCAAAGGTGGGAAAGTTACAGAGATATAATATTATGTTGTTGTATAAAACATCGTGGAGGGCAGACAGTCTGCAGCCCCGTAATGAAGGGACCCGACTTGGGCAAAGCTACTCAGGTTTGAGTCAATCCAAGACGCAGAGAGCGCCATTGAGAATAGCGTCCCACCAAACAACCATCGCAGAGACGCAATGCTGCAGAACGCAACAAGCATCAATACGACTATCGTCGGGCTTACACCATTCCAAGGTCCCCCATGCATCCCAGCAGACATCACCACCTGCATACCTCCATCGACCAGAACCACAAGAGTGCGTCGAATCAGGCGCAGCACACCCGCAGATCCATCACAAGACGCAATACCGTAAGTAGCAGTAAGCATCAATGCAACTATCATACGGATGGCGCCCCCTCACAACACACCCACATGACCCCTATCGACTTTGGTAACAAAGTTTGTATTGTTGTTATATAAAAAATATCACCAACGTATCATAGTAGCACGCTACTAAGACGCCAATGAACAAAACTCCACGTATTATAGCGTTAATGCACTAAGACATGAAGTTGAGTATGCCTGCTACACTTAAAAGTGCTACCAAACACACTCATCATCCCAATCCGAAAGATAGACGACACATCGCTATGCGCAACGACGTCGCCCACAAACGGTATGGGTGTGCGATGTCCACGGGAAAGCCGTATTGCTACAACAAACCCGCTTACCATCGGCAATAAGATGATATGTCTAGGACACATCGGTTAGCGAGTCCAAGTTTACCTCGGACCAATTGCTCGTGAAGCAGCACACACGCCACCATAATATTCCTTTTCAAGTCCCTAATAAGGACTAGTCATTTTGCTACAGTACTAGGAGCAGTCAGTCACCCGACCACCCCATACAATGCTTATGCATCAAGGAGACCTCCTATAATATTGCTTTTGTATCATAGACCTTACTTTCATAAGTCATTCATATATAGGATTCGAACCCACGACCCTACTATTGTAATGCATATTAATCATAGAGACCTTCTATAGTATTGCTTTTGGATCATAGACCTTACTTTCATAAGTCATTAATATATAGGGTTCGAACCCACGACCCTACTATTGTAATGCAAATTCATCATGGAGACCTTCTTTAGTATTGCTTTTGTATCATTGAGTTTAATATCATAAGTCCCTAATATAGGACTAGTCATTGTGCTACAGTACTTCAGGCAGTCGGGCTCCCGACCACCCCATATATATGTACAACTGCAGGTATGTACCTCCGGCAGCTTCCTCCATACAAGACGTCTATACGTGAACACCTTCCATAACTTTTTATTATTTTTAACAAATTTTCTAATTATCTTATAAACGTTATTTAACTTTTTTTTTGACTTGTATTTCTATTATTTATCTTATTTTAAATATTTTTTCAAGTTTTTAAATAAATTTATTTATTACGAAAAACAATAATTTTGCTTTTAATTTACTATGTTATTGGGATAATGTCTGAAATATATTAACTTTATGTTTATTAATTTAACTTAATTGCTTAATATATATCTTTTAAGACTATTTTTGACGCCCCTTTATATTGAATTTAATTATTAATAATAATATTGGGCCGTCACACTGCTTTGATAAATATTCCAATACAGGCAAAAAATTTTGGTGTTGAGGTGGCTTACGCGTACTTCCATTCATGTTTATAGGCTGCTTTCTTACAAATAATTTAAAATCATTTAAATTCTTGCAATATCATTTAACCAGGATATCCGAACTGCGCAGAATTAAATCTACGTCAGTGCCAAGAAACTTAAAGAAAAACAATCTGTACTCTCAGATTTCATTTCAAAGAAATTGTATTATTTATTATGTACCCGTTTAATATATTATACATTACTGCAACACCATATGTTTTTTTAGCCGTAGCCGTGCTGAATTTTATTAGTAGTATAGTTGTAGCACAAATGGGTCGGCTCGACCGGGGAAGGACCACTTTCTCACAGAATACCAGCGTAAAATTGCAGCTTAACACTGCTGTGTTTCGTATGGTGAGTACAGGGAACTCCCCATTTTTGCAGGGTTTAGTCCTCACGGGTAGCAACGCATCTGCACATTGATTCGTAATAGAGGATATATGTAGATGTCTATTATTTTATTCATTAATAATTAGTAAAGATGTTGTTAGGAGGCCGTCTTGTTAGGTGCCATCTCCTTACCTATTTCTGCAGCCAAGCAGCAATGCTTGCGTGATTGGGAATCTCACATCCAGTACAATGAGAGTAATTATATTGGCTGTAAGGCATTATATTCGTTACTTGATATGGATGTTTAACCTTAGTCCTCAAAGTAGGTAACTGTATCGTTCTTTGGTTGCAGTTGGCTGCAGATGATCATGGGCTCCAGTAGTCACTTACCATCAGCTGGACTGTGTTTGTTTGAAATATCAGTTTTCAGTTCCAAAAAGACTTTTATAAAAAGGTAAATAAAGTATTATATTTAATGATTTCTTATATTTACGCCAACACTACACATTTAAATAATACCAGTTTTTACGGATTTTATCGCGTATATTTAACTTTTTTAAAACGTCTAAACAGTTAAATATACACGAAAAAATCCGTAATAACTGGTATTATTTCAATATTAAATGTAGTTTTAACATAGCATCCGACCTAAATACGTGTAAAAATAAATTGATGTCCGTTAGTCTCGCTAATGCTTCAAAACGTGTTTATTTGAGTGCGTCCCTGGATGGTTTAAAAACTCACTTGGACCCGGTAGGTGGCGCTGTTGTCGAGATCCAGATATTTTCCGTGCAAAGCCAGGGCGGATTGCTTGCAAGTTATATAAAAGACTGTAATAAATTCTTATTCATCAATCCCAAGATGAACATCGCTGTAAAAGTTTACTGCAAATTGGTTGTATTATATCTCTAAACCAGGTCTTGCTTCTTGTGTTCGCAAGGAGATTTCCGCACCTAATTTGGATCTAAAAAAAACATTAATTTAAAAGGAGTTCGTATTCTATATTTTCTTTGCAACTTTTTATACAAGTAAATATTAAATTGCTCCCTAACCCCCTTATTTATAGAATATGGTTGACAAACGAGCACACAGTCCACCTTATGGTAAGCGGATGCTGTGGCCCATAGACATCTTCGTTTACTCTTGATTAAGAAACAAAATGTAGATGAGTTGTCACCCCTGAGGACTAAGATGGAATGGGTCGATTTCAGTAAAACATTTCCGGCTCCGGTTCACTACACTCACCATACGAAATACAGCAGCATCCAGGTGCTATTTTTTTGGTATTCTGTGATTCTAATGTATTTTTATTATATTAGCGGCCCCACACTAGATAGAGTGACGGCCTGGTAACACATGTAGAAAGTCGATGGATGCAGGTGGCTCAGGACCGTGGATTTGTGAAGGGTTGTAATGATGATGATGATGACATTTTCAAATCCGTGGCGGAGTTAGAAAATTAAAGTAACGTTTAAGTTAGTAATACACCGGAGGTGTACTGCTGCTATGCCATAACAAATGGGTGGAATAAAGGGCTGCTATCGGGTTTGTTGACCGGAGAGATACTATCAGCAGACTGTCGAATCTTCTTGTCGATTAAGAGATCCGAAGGCCGACTAAATAATCGCCGAAGAACCTCGGCACTATGCTTCATGATTTAAAAAAGGTTTAAATTAAACGTGGACAAGACAAATATCACATGTAATATTCACGTCACATCTTTTCCGGTAGTTGATGAATGCACACTCGAAGTTTATAAAGAAAACTTTTACTTAGGATAAATTGTTCAGCAAGATTTAATCCAACTTCGACCGAGTATTAGACCGACCGAGTAATTGACGAATTAACTCAACTGGGAGGAGTTCGGGAGTTCAGACATAACATCTTATTAAGTACTTAGAGATATGCTCCTCCCATGCTGGCCGTATAGGAAAGAAAACTCGTGGTCTCTAAGCAAGCTATAGTGAGGTCTATTGCTCAGAGTATTAGATAGCGTAATAGACTTTATAATGAGGAACGGATCAGTAAGCTGAAGCAGTAGTGAGCTGTCCGTGTAACTCAAGTAGCCGACATTTGTGAAAAGAAACATTTTCAAATGTCGGCATTGCTATGTATTATAGAATTGTGCTAGACTGTAATGAAAATAATTATAAAAGAGAAACGCAGCATATTTTGTCAATTAAACAACATATTTTGTCTTATTATTTTTGATTAATTTTCAGGAAGATGCTTTTGCCTATCTCCCGTTTCAGTTTTCCCTTCCCTCTGTCGCTTCTTACGATACCGACGGGATAATTTTTTTATAGAAAAGGGTGACAAACGAGCACACAGTCCACCTGATCTTAAGTGGTTGCTATAGTCCATAGACATCTACATCTCTCGATTACGAATCAAAATGCAGATGCATTGTCACCCGTGAGGAATAAGATGGAATGCCTTGTTTCCAGTTTTTATTTGACTTACGGATCTGAGACGTGTTCCTTCACTTCAGCGAGCTATGGAGAGTGCTATACTCGGAGTTTCTCTGCGTGATAGACTCGGAAATGAGGATATCCGCAGTAAAACCAGAGTGACCGACATAGCCCAACGGATTATGGCCGGTTTCTGAGTTACTTTTATCGGCAGTTTATCTATTCGTTAGCGCTATTGGTTTGATAACTTATGAAAATGCGTTTCCGAACATCGCAATGGAAGATAAACTCCGTTCAAGCTAATTTCAATTTAACTGGCCAATCAGTGCCGTTTATCGGTTCCATAACTTTATTTGACGTTTAAATTAAAGCAAACTGCATCAACTTTTAGGTTGTATCATGTTATTATTAAAATAAATTGCCAGTGAGCGCTAAGTATTTAAATATTAAAGGGATAAAATTAGAAGTGCAATGAATACGAGTAGCTCTTCCGAGTCTGATTTGGAAGCACTGGAGTTTATTTCTAGTATATCAGTACCCAGAAACTTAAGACATAGGAGAAATCCTTTCGAAATGTTTACGGATGAAGAATTTAAATTGAGATATCGCTTTGATAAGAATACTGTTATACACCTAAGTGATACCATCAGCTCTGCTCTAGCACCCATTATGCATCGGAAATATACATTGTCTGTGTTAGAATAAATTTTCATGGCATTACGATTTTATGTTTGCGGCGTGATTGGATTTGTTTTAGAGACAATTGTAGGGGGCTTTAACAGTGTTGTTCCAGGTCTATCCTCTGTCAAAGGCTGATAGTTTTGGATATGCGCTCTAATGTTGTCAAATCTCTCCTTCAATCTTTCACGTTCTTGATCTATTCTTTCTCTGCTTGGTACATCCATATCCAGTTGTGATAAATGCTGATAATTCTTCTCATACTCAAACCAATAGTAGTCATTTAATTTGCGTTTGATATAGTCTGGAGTCTTCCTATCAGACCCGTCCTTCTTGAAATTAGTATACAAATTTTCAATTGCTGTTGATAGCTGCTGCTGCGTAGTGAGGACATCGTTGACAGACATCATGATATAGAGATAAGTAAAATGGAAAGATCTTACTTGATGTGATGCTGGTTGCTGATTGTGCAGAGGTGGTTGGCGCGTTCGTGCTGTAGTGGTGGTAAGTACCCAACGAAGACTTAGATTCTCCTGATGCGCTCCAAGCTGCTACTACTGGGCGGCGCCCAAGACTCGCAACGCCCACAAATGCTGCTTGGTCCTTGATGCTTTGTGACACCGATGGCCGGAGCTTATTGATAATGAAATGATGCTGCACACTTATTAGTACAGACTGGAAAGCTATTGCACACGTCACTTAGTGCACTATGTCGCAATAGGTCACTGAGCGGAAACACTTTTTCCGGTCGTTAAAACCCGAATTTCAGGCCCCGCTACGGAGCTCGAAGGACCATAAAGATGTACGGAACACCTTTAAATGATAGTTGATAGGAAAAATGATTTTATTTAACCCAGATAAGCCTGAAACTAAAATTTTCTGAAAATTTTGAAAAAAGTTACATTATTTAGTTTATTAGATCTTATGCAACGTAAAAAAAAATTATGAAAAAAAAATTAAGTGTAAGGCTTTCAGGGAAACAGCCATCCTATATGTAGGACAGTAGGATAATAAGAGGAAATAAAAGACCATTTATGACAAAACAGAATGTAATTAAAAAGTGTAGTTTATTAGATAACTATTGATTATATTACCCATTGTTATATGTAATTTACTAGATTAACACTATTTATGAATGATATGTTTCAAAACACTTGACACACACTCCAACATCACATTTCTTGCAACGTGTCAAACATTTTTTGTGACATTGACGACAGCGTGTTTGCTTCGATTGAGGAATAACCAGATGATTCATTCGGTCTTTACGACTATCAGCATGTTCATGATGGGAGGGTCGGCTAGGCCCTCTTTTGGCATTTTTTCTGTTTGATTCAATCAAAGCAATTGCTACCCTTCTGCGAAAGCCAAGATGATCCAGTTTTCCATGATTTATTTTATATAACTGCCATGCATTATGTTCGGCAAGATCAATCATGTGTGTGAGCAACGGCATGTACCATTTCTTACCTCGTATACCAATTCGGTAATGTGAAATATTTTCATCAGACCGATCCACTCCTCCCATATATTTGTTATAGATGGACACCATATGTGGTTCTTCTATGACAATGTTTCTCTTTTCACTTTGTGAGAAGCGTTTGGCAGATTGTTTAGGATTTATTCCTACAGCATTAGAAGCAATACTGAATATATTATTGTCATGCCATTTAGCAATAATGAACGTGTTGTCATGTGTCGTTCTGTAATCGACAGCACCACGTTCCTTTTTTTCAGTAACTTCGATGTAATCAGAGGACAACTAGATGTCCTGTTTTCTCGAATTGTCCCAGTGCAACGAAGGCCTTTCTTTGTTATCTCTTCCAGCAAGGGCGTCCCAGTAAAAAAATTATCAAAAACTACGTGGTAAGGAAGGTCGAAGCCACGTGAAATCAGCACATCGCAAAAAGTGAGAACAACGCTTGCACCCAGCCCCAATTCTTTATATATTGGATTGCACATAGTTGTAGCACCTTGGTATGGTTCCATCCATAAAACATACCCTAACCGTGTAGCACCAACCCAAGCTTTGAACCCGTACCTAATAGGTTTACCTTTTATGTGCTGTTTGCAGCCATGTCTACCATAGTAGGGGATCATGGCCTCATCTACACTGTAATGCTCTTCAAGAGGAGAAAACTCTAAGAACTTTTTATTTAGAAGTGTAACTAGGGGGCGTACTTTTGTGTATTTGTCTTGCAAATCCAGATAATCATTGACATGAAGGTGGCGAAAAATAAAGTCGAATCTATCCCTAGTCATAGCCGAGCTGATCAATTCATTCTTTGTATCAGGGGAGAGTTTTCCCAATACATTCTTCTACGGGGGAGCCATGAATAACCACTAACCAACAATATGCCGATGAAACATTTCATATCTTCGGTGGTTATGTCTCCAGGCAAATTCTTTTTGACAGCATATTTATTGCTCTCTGACACCAACAACGAAATAACATCTTCATCTAAGAAGTTTTCAAACCACTCAATTGGGCGCTTATCTTGGCAAGCGCCTTGAACATCTGGCCAATTTACGGGATTTTTTGCCAAGTCCCGTTTTCTCCATGCGTAGGTACGCCTACGTTTAGTTCGACCTGTAGAATCAGAAGGTTCTTCTTCTGTATCACTCACCATAATCTGCCCTTGAATCATTACTTCAGCCGGTTGAAGCAGAATGTTTCGTGGCAAATTATTCAAAGTTACATTATCTTCTTCACCCGAATCTTCGTCAGTGAGACAGTCAGGATCAACAGGAGGAGGTAGAATACATATCAGTCGTTCTCTATAATCTTCTTCATTATCAGAAACATTTTCTAAAGCATCTAAAATTTCATGCGCAGCTAACGGTCTGTAAAGAAAAAGTTGTATTATTGTACTAAAATCATGTATATTATCCTACTGTCCTATATATAGTACGCTAGTATTTGTAACAAGTTATACGTAATTTATTTATATTATTTTGCTAGAATATTTATTTAGTACAAAAGTTAAGGTTATCAACTAGATATTAACACAGAAAAAAACAACTCACGAGTAAAATATAACTTTTTATACATACCTGTCATTTGCCATGTCTGCAACGCACTTTTATTACACACTTATAAGGTAAAATATAAGGTAAAAAACTTTCTTTTTATTTTTTATAATAATGCTGACACGTTTCTTACTGAAAATCATAAGACTAAATAATCTTAGATAAAGAGGGTATTCTGATATTTTTTTATTTCTACTGTCCTAAATATAGGACAGTAGGCTTATCTGGGTTAAAATAAATAATGATATTTAGGTTAGGTTAGGTTAGGTTAGGTTAGGTCGTTTAGGGTGACGCAGGTGCTGTCGGGGCACGGCTGCTTTGGCAAGTACCTGTGCCGCATAGACAGGGAGCCGGACGCTCGGTGCCACCACTGCGTCCATTGCGGGGAGGACACGGCGCAACACACGCTCGCCGATGTGTAGCTTGGGAGGAGCAGCGCCGTGTCCTCACAAATGTAGTAGGAGGCGATTTGTCGCTGTCGGCCTTGGTGCGGAGTATGGTCGGTAGCGCAGAATCGTGGGATGCAGTGGTGTCCTTCTGTGAGGACGTGATGTCGCAGAAGGAAACTGCGGAACGGGAGAGGGAGATCTCGACTCCCTTTCCTGGCCGCAGAAGGCGCACCGGGCGCAGGAGAAGGGCGGACAACGCCCTTTTCCAGCCCCCATGAATAAGTCCAGGGGCGAGGGACTAGGGGAAGCCCCCCGCCCCCCTATTCGATGGACCCGAGGCGGAGGCACGCGTGGGTGTCGGCGCGTGCCTCTGAGGTGATACAGGGGGTAGTTGAACACCTCACTACCCCGTGCAGGAGACGAAGCCCGTACAGACCGGGCCAGCACTAGTGTGGGGCTGCGGAAGAATTTGGATTCCCGCGGCCCCGTGCGTGCCCGTGCGAGGAGACACCGGGGTGGTTTTAGCCGGTAAGAGTCCGGCACACCCCTCCGCCTGTCCCCAGGCAGAGGCAGTCCATGAGGATTTCCCCCCCGTAAAAAAAAAAAGGTTAGGTTAGGTTAGGTTAGGTTAGGTTAGGTTAGGTTTTTTTTTTTTTTAAATTGACCTCCCTGAGACTTTGGGAGACTGTTTTTACAATTTGTCTTTATTATTTTGTTTGTTTATCTTCAAAAACTCATTCATACATCATATCTTATAATCTGTTCGTCAGCCATTCAGCATCCCATTTTCATCTCGCTTACATCATCTTTCAATCATGGGCTGAAGGCCATAGTGTACTTACATTCTAATTGAAACAGAAAGGGGCGGGGACAGTGAAGGGGGGAAATAATAAAACTTTAATTACATTTATCATTAATGCTAACTTAAGACTATGTTCCTAATTACAATTTATTTATGCTAATATATTTATATAACAATATAATTACTTAGCATAACTTACACTCTATTTCTTTTATTTACAGCAATGCACAGTTTTATACAAAATTTGAGGAACAAGTCTCTATTTTTACCCAGTACAATATCCGGAAGCGTACTTACTTCCAGTTTGCAGTCCAATAAGAACTCCAGCTCCTGCCTCGTAGGCCGGCGTCGGGGCGAACACGCCGGATCGCAGACGCACGATGGACTCTCCTTACACTTGAAACGATGCAAGTACTCGGAGAATCCACCGTGCCCCGACAATACCTGAGTGACAAATCTGTCCACCTTTATTTTACCGATGACACGGTATGCGGCTATCGCGTCCGGGAAAAAGACCCGGGTGACACCGGCTGTTTCACCGGCCCGGTATCGTTGGTTCCATTCATCAAGCGATCGCATACGAATGCTTCGCCTGATGAATGAAACCGGGCAGCTGTCATAGTCAAAACTGCGTTTAGACTTTAGCGCAGCTTCCTTGGCCAGATGGTCGGCACGCTCATTCCCCTCTAGTCCCGCGTGGGCTTTGATCCAGAACAAATTAACAAGTTTGTCCTGTATCGAAGCCCTGTGCAGGTGGCCCCGCGCCTCGACGGCCAGGGGGTGGAGGGCAACTGGATTTATCGTTGTCTGCAGTGCCGACAGAGAGTCAGAATAAATTCCGATTGATCTGGCCGAGTTATCTGCGGCCGTCCGCGCCGCCCTGCATATCGCCAGGAGTTCCGCCTGGTAGACGGTGCAAAAGGACGGCAAAGTAAGCTTGAGGGTTTTGGTTTCGGCGGCGCTCCTCCATATGGATAACGCCGCACCCACCTTGCCCTCAATCTTACTGCCGTCCGTGTAGATATTAAGTTCGTGATCAATATTTACCGCTAGGTGTTCCTCGCCCGCCAGGCACTTGAAATCCAGGTCGATATGCTGAGCGGGATGCGGAGACCGCAGAGCCGAGGACATCCGTTCCACCTCCCGATCTCCTATCGCGTCCTGGGGTATACCCCTCCTCGCACCATACAGCGCCGCGGCTTCGCGGACGCGCAGGTCAAGGGGGAGTATCCCAGCGAGCAACAGTGCTGAGTTCAGGGAGGTAGTGCGGTATGCCCTACACAGCTTCTGCGCAAAGCCCCGCTGGACCACGTTCAGCTGCTTTCGAACACCGAGCTTATCAACAGCCGGCGCCCAAACGGCAGCCGCATACAGTATCACGGGCTCAACCACCGGACTGTAGATAGCGCGGATAACTTCGGGGTGGAGGCCCCAGCTCGCCTTCGCGGCTCTCGAAAGCTGGGCGTAGAAGGCTACGGCCTTCTTACACACATTCGCGACGTGCGTGTTGAAGGTCAGGCGCTGGTCTAGGACGACTCCCAGTAACCTGAGTTCTCCGACCATGCCAATGTCGACCCCGCCCATGTGGAGGCGTGGGGTGTCATACTTCAGTTTGCGCGTGATGACCATGGCGCTGGTCTTGTGCGGCGCAAACCTCAGTTTGTTCTGGACTACCCACTCCCTCACATGCTCGAGGGCGGCATTAGCACGGCTTTCGACCTCATGAGCCCTCTCACCTTCAAAGACCAGCACCACATCGTCAGCGAATGCCTGCACATAGTGATGTCTAGCCTCCAGCTCGCGAAGCAGTGGATCCAACAAGAGGTTCCACAAAATCGGCCCACCGATAGACCCCTGCACGCAACCCTTCTCGGTTTTCCTCACGTGCTCCTCCCCGCAGTACCGTGCGCGAACATGCCTGCCGCTCAGGTAGCTGCCCAGGAGCCTCCTGATGTTAAACGGCACTCGTTCCTCCGCCAGTCTGACTTTGATGCGTGGCCACCAAGCGTTGTCGAAGGCGCCCTCTATATCCAGTGACACAAGCGTCATCAACTTTTTGTTTTTTAAACCTAATCTGATGTGCTCAACTAGTGTATAGAGGGCGTCCTCGGTGCTCCGCTGGGGCATAAAGCCAAACTGGCGGGTGCTGAGCCTGGGCGCTATATGATATTTTAATCTGGCGACAAGCATTTTCTCCAGCACCTTCCCCAGCACCGGAAGGAGACCGATCGGCCGATACGACCGTGGTGTCGTATAAGTAATCTTCCCCGGCTTGCGGAGGAAGATTACCGTGGCCTCGTTCCAGGGCTCGGGAAAATGCCGGAGTTCGAGGCACCTGTTGAAAAGAGCGAGTGAGAGTTCGGGGTCAAATTCTATCGCGTGCAAACATATATCGGCGATAAAACCGTCCGCGCCTGGAGCCTTCTTCGGATTGATGAACCGGCAGGCCAATTTCAACTCCAAAGGAGTGAAAGGCGGGTCCGTCAATTCCGAAGAAGTTTCAGCGTCAAAGAGCTCAGCTTGTACCCTCACCCTTCGGTGCTCCTCGGAGTCATCCCCCTCGGAGTCCTCCGGGTAAAAGGTTTCGGCCATATGCCTCACCGAGCCCCTGGCGTCTAGCTCCATACTGTCTACCACCAGCGGTGGGTCTTCGTCTCTCCTGGAGGTTCTGCCGAGGACCCGATAGATACCTCCCCAAACCGATTCCCCGTCTTGGCGTTCGCAGAAGGAGACCCAGCTGCGCGTCTGCGCTTGCCTTACCTCGGTCTCGTAACGCTCCTTCGCCTCGAGATACTCCCCAACTACCTTCCGACGCCTAACCGGCGCTGCACACCGAATCCTGCATCTCTTGGTGGCCACCTCACGCTTTAGCGCTGCCAACCCCTCGTTCCACCATGGCATATTCAACACATCCTTGCGCTTTATTGGCGGAATAGACGAGGCACATGCTTCGGCTATTAATGTGTTGTATTTTGTGATTGTGTTATCTAATTGTGAACCGTGTGTTAAATTTTTAATATAATCTAATGTTAAGTTTTCTCTATTGATAATTTGACCCAGTTTCTCACGAAACTGGGCCCAATTTGCGTGTTTAGTGTAATATATTCTTGTGGTGTGCTTGATGAAATTCTTGTTGATGTGCCTTGTCGTTAATGTGTAGGATATGCCATTGTGGTCCGAGCTGGTCAGGTCCTCGCGCACGCGCCAGTCGTCCACCAAGCTATACAGGTCCGGCGATACGGCAGTTATATCAACATAACTGCTGTACCTTACGCCGCCCCGGATAGTGTCAAATGTAGGGGTTTCCCCTCGGTTCAGGATGCAGAGCCCGAGGTCCTCCAGTGAGCCGTGCAGTTCTTCGCCGCGGCGATCTGTCACGGGACTCCCCCACCAGACGCTCTTGGCATTGGAGTCGCCCCCAATTATAACACTCCGAGCTCCTGTCTCGCGCTGCACCCGGCGCAGGTGTGCCAGGTACGAGTCCATCGGCAGGTCGGGCTCAAAGTAAAATGAAACCAGGATGATCTCCCAGTTGCGGACTCGGATCCCCACCACTGCGATGTTGATCGTGGTGAGTTTCGGGTACTGTGTTATGTGAAGGTCCGCGTCAAAAACTATGATCGCGGCCTTTACAGTCCACTTCCATGGTCCGCACACTGGAAGACTCTGATCCCATTTTGACTCTTCACACGCCCTGTTCCGCCGACGTATGGCTCCTGCACCAGAGCAAACCGCGCACGCTGGTTAGAGGCTTCGATCAGCAGCTCGGAGTGTGCCAACTTACTGCGCTGGAGGTTCGTCTGGAGGACTTTGAGAACCACTGCGTTCGCCGGCACGCCCTTAGCAA